TCTCCCTCTTTTTTTTTTGGAGGGTTGAAGGAGCCGAGGTTTTCCCCGTCCCTCCGAGGGCCCTTGGCAACCCCTGGGAAGCTGCTGGAGCCTCTCCCAGAAGGACTGGAATGCCCAGGGCTGGGCACAGAGGGACGCAGCCCTCCCAAATGGTGGTTTCACACTCCCCCGACCCCGTTTCTTCCTCCGAGCAGGATTTATTGGCCCAGCTCTCCAGGAGATGAAGGCTTTTGTGTGGAATTTTATCCCAAACCCTTCCTGCAGCTGCTGCGTGGGCAAAAGAAAAATAAAAAAAAAATAAAAAAAAAAGAGAAAAAGAGAGAGAGAAAAGGGTCGGAGGGGGGTGGGGGAAAAGAATAAAAAAGACATTGAAAGTGAGGTTTGAAAAGAGCTCTTCCCTCTGGAATCAGCTTGTGAGTCACACACAGGGAATGACCAGGGAATATTTCATCCTGCCGGGATGCGGATTGGGCTCCGCGTTCGTCATTCCGCGCACACACAGGGAGCAGCGCCTTTAACCCCTTCCTGCCCGCGGCACTGACCGCTCTCCTCCCGCTCGCTCCCGGTTGGGACGGGAAAACGCCGGGGAGGCTGTGCCAGAGAGGCGGAAACACCAAAAATCCCGGGAATCATCCCCGGGCTCGGCTCAGGCCCAGAGGGAGCGGGAAAAGGGGAGCTGAGGGGGCTCTGCGGCTGCTGGCCAGGGAGGGAGCGGGATCTGGGCAGGAATTCCCTGCCCAGGAGCGGGACAGGCTCGGGAGAGGCAAGGGATCGCCAGCGGGGGGGTGAGGGGGTGGAGGGATCCAGGGAGGGATCCAGGGAGGGATCCAGGGAGGGAGGGATGAATGGAGGGAGGGATGGATGGATGGAGGGATGGATGGATGGATCCGTGGATGGATGGATGGAGGGATTCATGGATGGATGGATGGAGGGATCCATGAATGGCTCCATGGGTGGATGGAGAGCAGCCTGCTCCTTTCCCTGGATCTGCCTCTTGGATCCCCTGCAAAGCACTGAATCCCAATTCTAAAAACCCAAAGCCGAATTTTAAAAAGTGGCAGGAGAGGAAGGGAAAACTCCGGGGGAAATCTCAGTGCAGGGCAGTGGGACTGGACAACCTTTAGAGGTCCCTTCCAACCCAACCCATCCCAGGATTCTCTGGTCCTTTGCTGGGCTGTGGAAGAGGAGGGAAGCCAAGGGGAGCTCCCTCACCTCTGCCAGGACCCAAACCTGCCCCAAACCCTCAGCTGAGCTGCAGCCACCTGGCGAGGCGGCCCGGTGCCACCAAGGGCACCGAGTTTGCTGCAGGGAGCGGGAGAGGAGCCAAGGAGCCTCGGATCGTGCTCGGGAGCTGCCAGGGCAGCGCAGCCTGGCGCAGCCTCCCAATTATCCAAAGTGCTCTCCCGAGCCGCAGCCTCATCCATTAGGGCTGCTCTGACTCAGGCACTCCAGAGCGGCTCTTCTCCTCCCCTCCCGGGGTGTTCCAGCTGGGAAAAGGGGGACAGGCAGCGGGGAGAGGGGGAAAAGCTGAGCCCAGCAGGAAAACCCGGATTCCCCAGCCCCAGGCTGCCTGGGCTCAGTATTAGCAGCGCCCAGGAAAGCTTGGGGATGTTTTGGGGTGGGCAGGGAGGGCAGTGCCAGGGGGACAGAGCCTGTCCCTGCCACCCTGAGAGCCCACACCCCCCCCGAGGGGATTCCTGAGCCCCTCCGCTCCCGGCTGGGCTGCAAACCCCGCTCCTGCTCCTTTCCTGGAGCCATGAAAGTGCTCTTTGTTAGGCAAGAGCTGGAAAACAGCTGCCGAGGGCTTGTCCAGACACACAATCCCGGCTGGAGAGCCGGGCTGGGAGCGGGGCAGCTCCTCAGGCCTGCCCGGGCAGCCACGGGGCAGCCCTGGCACGGCAGGGCTGGGGCAGCCTGGCAGGGTGGCACAGAGGGATTTGGGCAGCGGGGAGGCTCCGGGGCTGCAGGAGCTGATTGCAGCCCCCGCAGCTCGGCTCTGCTCCGCGGAAGGATCCGGGCTGGTTTTCCCCCATCCCAGCTGAAGGAGCTTTCGGGCAGGTGGGGAGGTGCTGGAGGAGATTTCCTGGGTCACCTGTGCCTGCCCCATCCCTGGGAGTGTCCAGGAGCACCCTGGGGTGCTGGGGGTGTCCCTGCCCATGGGAATGGGGGAATCATCAAAGCCCCCTGCACCCCAAACCGGTCTGTGGTGGGGAGCAGGATCCTGTCCTGCAGAGCTTTGGGATGTGGGAGCGACCCCCTCCCATTCCCAAAGGAGAATGTTCCAAGATAGAAGAGGCAGAAGTTGGAATGCAGAGGAAAGGGAAGGAAATCTGCCCAGGCCGAGCTCAAATCAAAGCTCAGCCTGGGAGCAGAGCCTTGCCCAGGGCTCGCTCCCAGTCCAGTTGGGCAGGATTGGCTGCGAGCAGCTCCCGGGCTCTTCTGGCCTCCTAACAAATCCTGCTGCAAACCAGGAGCGCCCCGGGAATCTCCATGGCAAGGGCCAGGCGCCTCCTGCGAGGATGCTCAGCCTGGGAAAGGCTGGCAGGGCACAAATATTCATTAAATTTCTGCTTTTTGCAGCAAACGTGGCCAAACCAGGCTGGCTGCTGCTGGGCCCTGCACAGAAACCCTCACCTCCCTCTGAAATCCTGCTCCACCCCTGTGAAAAACCACTTTAAAGCTGGGTTCATCCTTCCTGTACTGGTTTTCTCTCAGTTTGGGTGGCCCAGCACGGAACAGGAGCTGGGGAGGGGGTGGGAGCAGCATCTCTGCCCCTTCCCCTTCTCCCAAAGTTCTGCCAGAGCCACGGGGATGTTTCAGGGTGGGCCAATCCCAGTGCTGGGCCCAGATTTGGGATCAGAAGGGATCAAGCCTGACAGGCCAGAGGGATCTGAGGGAAGAGGCCCCAGACCAGAGAGGGGAGAGCTCTCTGCAGGTGAAACCCCCTCCCTTGTTTTCATGGAATCAGGGAATGGTTTGGGGTGTGAGAGACCTTAAGGATCACCCCATTGCAGCCCTGCCTTTCCAGGGACACCTCCCACTGTCCCAGGGTGCTCCAGCCTGGCCCGGGGCACTTCCAGGTGGCATTTTTGGGAAACCTGTTCAGTGCCACCAGGAACTGACACCTGATCCTATTTTCCTCAGGGCTTTCCCCTCCATTTCCCTCATCATTCTCCTCCTTCAGCAAGGCCTGGCTCCTGACACCCATTTTTCCTCCCAGAAATCCCAACCTAAGTGGATTTCCCTGTGCCACATCCAGGAGAAAACGTCTCCATCCATCCCCCCCAGAGGTAAATGGTTCCCAGCCGATTCCTCACCCCACTGAGGGTGGGGCTCAGCCAGTGCCACCCTCATCCTTTCCCTTCCCTGCAGCCCTGGACGCCACCCAGGGCTGGATGAGCAGGAGCAGGGAAGGTTCAATTACAGATCAGCAGCGGGCTGAGCCAGAGATTTAATGGAAGGGCTGGCTGGAGCCCCTGGCAGCAGCAGGGCTGAGTGGAACGAAATCCCACGAAGCTCCAAAAGCGGGGAGCAGCCAGGATGAGCGTGGCTGTCGCTGCCAGTCACTGGGAAATGGATGGATCCCGCAGTGCGGCGGGAAATTGGGGATTTGGGATGAGTAACGAAGGTGCTGGCACAGGCAGAGGGGAGGAAAAGGAATCAGGAGGGTGAGACCAGCCCAGCCTCCCTCTGCTCCCCCACAGGATCCACAGAATTCCGGGAGGAACCCAGAGCCCATCTCGGCAGGTCCATCCCAGGGCACAGGAGGGTGCCCAGGCGGCTCTGGAACATCCCAATCCCTCAGGAGCATCCCAATCCCTCTGGAACATCCCCACCCCTCTGGAACATCCCCACCCCTCTGGAACATCCCTCAGGAACATCCCACCCCTCTCAGGGCTCGGGGCCCTGCCCAGGGCAGTTCTGCCTCCTGCCCAGAGGATTTGCTGACACCGGCGGTGGGATGCAAACCCCCAGGCTTCTCTGCTCCCGCCTGGCTCCCTGCAATGCCAAAGGAATTATTTCAGGAGATACGACCCCAAGGAAAAACTCCAGAGAAGTTTCACACCAATTCCTCTCTCCTTGGCGAGAAGTGAGGAAAAGTTGGGAAGGAGCTGGGCGGGAAATCCCAAAAAGCCACGAACTGGGAGGAACATCCAGACGAACTGGGAGGAACATCCCGCTCCAGGTTCCCCTTCCCAGGCTTTCCCTGGCGCCGCAGCAGCAAACGCGAGAGGAAAGTGGCCTCTCGTGGATGGAAAGTGCGCTGCAGATCCATGAAAAGTGCAGGAAAACTGGGAGGGAATCAAGCTGTGGAGCAGCAGAGGGCACGGGCGGCCCCGCGGGACCGTGCCCGTCCCGCTCCCGCCGGTGGATCCCGGCCTGCTCCCCACGGGCCCGACACAGCCAGCAGCGCCGGGGGCTGGGAATTCCCGAGCTCCACGGCATTCCGGTGCATTCCCGGTTCATTCCCGGTGGCATTCCCCACGACGTTCCCGTGGCATACCCAATGGTATTCCTGTGGCCTTCCTAATGACATTCCCGGTGGCATTCCAGTGGCATTCCTGTGGCATTCCCAGTGGCACAGGGACACGCTGTTGCTGGGACACTGCACTTTCCTGTTCCCCTAGCTGTCAGCCGTGTGTTCCCATAAAAAGTGGGATTGTTCCCAATCCATGGAGCTGCAGCAGCCCCTGTTCCCCCGGCTGCAGGGAACAGCGCTGCCAGGGTGGAATTTTGGGATGTCTGTGCAGGGATAAGGGTTGGATTGAACCCTGTGGATCCCTTCCCACTCCCTGCCTCACCTGCAGATCCCTGAGGGTGCCACAGCGCCCGGGGATGGAGAATCCAGGATTTCTCCATCCTTCCCAACCTCCCCCCAGAGCAGGAGCCGGGATTTCCAATTCCACAAAACCTCCCTGAGAGCTCCAAGCCCGATCCCTCAGAGCCCCGGAGGCTGAGGGAAGCATCAAAGCCTGGCTGATGAAAGCTTTTCCAACAGGGGCGTTAAATTGAATTTATTTATGCCTTCATTTGGGTCCCTTGCCCTTGGAATCTTCCCCTCCACGTGCCGCAGCCGTCTGCAGAGCACATGGAGCAGGAATTCCACATGGATGGCTCCCAGGGAGGGGCCAGGAGCCGGAGAGGCGCTACTGTCGGACTCCCTGAGGGGGTCACGGCCCCGGGAAGCTGCTGGGGAGGGATTCCCGGCTGGAACTGTGCTTGGCTTCCATCCCCAGGCTCCTGTTCGGCTCCTCCGTCCCAGCTGTGCCCGGGAAAAGGGGTGGGAGGGGTTGGAAGGGACCTCGAGCATCCCCTTGTCCCCTCCCTGCCCTGCCACCGTCCCAGGCTGCTCCAAGGCTGGCCTTGGACACTGCCAGGGAAGGAAAGTGTCCATCCAGGGTTCTTCCCACCCTGGAGCAGAAATCCAGGGGTTGTTCCTACCTAGGGGTGGGAATCGTGAAGTTATTCCCATCCAGCCCAGTCTGAGGCTGCAAAGCAGGGTTAGAACCCCTGGGTTTCCCTCCTAGGATGGGAATAATCCCATTATTTCCCTCCTAGGATGGGAATAGCCTTGGATTTCCCTCCTAGGATGGGAATAACCCCTGGGTTTCACCTCCAGGATGGGAACAACCCCCGAGCATCCTCAGCTCCCTCCTCCGTGCCTCCTGTCCCACCTGGATCCCCGGGATGAGTCCCGTGGACGCTCCCCCCGCACGCCGCATTCCCGCACTCCCTCCTCCCGCCTTTTATCCGCCTTTCCCGGGATGAATCCCGACTGAAGCACGCAGAGCCCACCCCCGCCAGCGCTAATTAGCATGCTTAATGAGGCCGCGACAATCACAGCTGTCAGCCGGGCCCTGAAGCGTCGCGGGGCTTTTTTTTTGTCCCCAGCTCGAGTCCCCTTTGTGGCGGCTCTGCTTTCCCTGGGGCCATCAAAGTGCCACCAAAGTGCCACCAAAGTGCCACCAAAGGCGTCCCCGAGCCCGGCGTTTTGCCGTGGGGTGTCGCAGAGCTCCATCCCCGCGTTTTTCCATGGAATTCCTGGATAATCCAAGCAGGGAGCGGCTGCTGTGCCCCGCGGGGTGGCCCCGGTGGTGGCCCCGGTGGTGGCCCCGGTGGTGGCCCCGCCAGCCGCTGTCCCCGAGCCGGCCCCTAAGGAGCACCGGGAGCGGATGTGTTAAAGGTTTCTGCTCCAGCGGAGGGAAAAATGCCCACAAAGGAAGGTGTACAAATATTGTGGGAAATCCGTAATGTTTGCTGAGGGCCCGGGCCATTGAGGCGCGCAGAATTCCCCGGCGAGGGCTCATTCAGGCGGCCTCAATGGGAAATTTTTAATTGAGAGGTTCCTCATTCAGCGCCCGGGGGTCATGCAGAGACAGGGGGTTTCCGAGCTGGAATAAAAAAAAATAAAATAAAACCCCCTCTGTTTCCTGCTCTGAATGGTGAGGGGTTTAATCCCCAGCAGAAGGGAAAAGTGATGCCCATTTTTTAAATTCATTTCTCCGATAAAAAAAAAAAAAAAAGGGGGGGGGGAGAAAAAGAAAAAAAGAGGAAAAATAGAAAATAGGGGGAAAAGGGGGGGGAAGGGGGAGGAAATTAATTAAATGTTAATTAAGTGTAATTTACTGAGCTTTTTTCCCCCCCAAGTGCCATTGAGTTGGTTTGAAGGCCTGGGTGGGTTTGGCTTTTTTTTTCCCAGATTCCTGAAAACGCAGGAGGCTCCAGAGGCTGTGGATGCATCCTGAAATGAGAATTAGGGATGAATGAAGGAAGCAGATTCCCGTATTCCCAAATTCCCACCCCACCACAGACAGCTCAGGAATTCTCGGGGATCCCTGCTGGAGCTGCCAAAACCCCTCTGACCCCAAAATGGGAATTTGGGGGCACCAATCCATTCAGGGGGTCCCAAATCCGCCCTGCCCTGGGGAGGCCCCACAGCTCCCAGTGCCCCAAACTGGGCCGTTCCCAGCGGGATCCAAACCCCTGCGCCCCAAAGCTCCACCCGCTAATTAATGCACCAGGCCCAATTAGCACACGCACAGCACCTGATGAGCCCCACGCAATTAATTCGTGTTTGATTGCTCAATTAGGCCACGCTTGAGCGGCCACCTCGCCATCATACCTGGGCACCCAATTAATTTATGCGTGGTCGCCCAATTAATTTATGCATGACCGCCCAATTAATGTATGCATGAGAGCCTAATGACATCAATTAATTTATGCATGAATGCCCAATCGCAGCACGCATGAGCCCGCAACTATTTCGTGCATGGGCACCCAATTAATTTATGCATGGGTGCAAAATGAATTTATTCCTGTTGGCTAATTAATTTGTGCGTGAGAGCCCAGTTAATTGGTGCACGGGCGCCCAGTTCCTTCACATATCCCCCACCGAGACTGGGAAGTTCCGCTGGCCCAAACCCGGCCCGTGGTGGCCACCGAGGGGCTCCTGGAAGTGGCACGGGAGGCAACAGGATGGGATTTTTTGGGGAAAAAGCAGAGTTGAAGAGCACGTGGGAGAGAATGAGATGGATAAATCCGAAATTTAAAAATTCAGAACACGAGAGGGTGGAGGAGGGAAATTCAGAGCAGAGGACGAGATAAAGAGCCGAGAATTTCCAAATATTCTCCTTTAAGGGAGAAATTCCCAGGCTGGGATCCAGTTCTATCCCTAATTCCCAACTCCGTCCTTCCCCGGCTCCATCCATCCCAATCCCCACCCTGCGCCACATCCCTGGTTCCATCCCTGCCCTTCTCCGGCTCCATCCCCTTTCCCGGCCTCATCCTGGCTCTATCCCTAATCCCATCTGACCCCTTTCCCTGCCCCATCCACCCCTTTCCCGGCTCCATCCCTTATCCCTTATCCCATTTCCATCCCCATCCCGAGCTCAGGCACCGCGCGGGGGCACTCGCAGCCCGGCCGCGCCGCCGGAGCGGCTCCGGGGCGGCTCCGGGATTGGCCCGGGATGGCTCCGGGATTGGCCCGGGATGGCTCCGGGACGGCCCCGGGATTGGCCCGGGATGGCTCCGGGATTGGCCCGGGATGGCTCCGGGACGGCCCCGGGATTGGCCCGGAATGGCCCCGGGATTGGCCCCGGGACGGATCCGGGATGACTCGGGCCAGCCCCGGGCCGCGCAGCCCCGGCTGTCCCCGCCGCCCCGGGCCGAATCCATCCCCCGCCGGCCGGGAAGGAGCTGTGCCCTACCCCGGTAATCCCCGGTCATCCCCGGTCATCCCCGGTTCCCAGAGCGCCCCGCTGAGGTCCCTCTGTTCCCAACCCAGCGGTGCGGAGGGGCGGCTGCAGATCCACCGGGAACGTGCCCGGGGAGCCCGGCGGGAGCGGGAGCTGATCCCAGCGAGGCTCCGGCTCCGGCAGCGGGTCCCGGCTGAAGGGCAGAACCGCCGATTGCGAACGATCCCTTAATTCAGCTGCCAGGTCCTGCCAGGTCCTGCAGGAGCATCCCCAGAGCCTCCCAGAGCTGCTCGGAGCTCATCCCACTGCTGCCCCCCGCCCTCATCCTCAGGAATTCTCCAGGATCCAGCTCTGCAGAGCCTCTGCAGGTTTTAGGGATCAGCTGGACCCATAGGGAGGTTTCAGGGATCAGCTGGACCCATAGGGAGGTTTTAGGGATCAGCTGGACCCACAGGGAGGTTTTGGGGATCAGCTGGACCCATAGGGAGGTTTTAGGGATCAGCTGGACCCACAGGGAGGTTTTAGGGATCAGCTGGATCCTGGCGTGCTTTGGGGCCGGGAGGCAGCTGCCCCGGGAGAGGCGGCACACGAGATTTTCCATTTTCTCCTGTGAATTACGAGCCTCCAATAAACAAAGCCTGGAAAATCTGGGAGTGGGAGCGCAGGTATCCCATGGTTTGAGTCAGCAGAGGTGGGAGCAGGTGGCAAACCCGATTTATCATCTCCCGAGGGGGGAATTCTGGCCGTGACTGACAGGCAGCTCCTCGCTGTCGCTGTCACTGTCGCTGTCACTGTCGCTGTCTCCGCCAGCCCTCCCGGCGGGGCTCTCTCCGCCTCCCCGCATTAATCATCCCCGGGATGCTGCCCACGCCTCTGCCGGCTCCGGGTCGTGCGCGCCTCATCCCGCCCACCCTCCGCAGCTCCGGTCACGTTCCGGCCTCCGGCGGAGCCGCGTGGGGCTGTGGGACCCGCGGCTCCTCCCGCCCCGCGGCCCCGGAGCCTTCCCGGGGCTGCTGCGGGTGGGACGGGCCCGGCCCTGCCCCGGGGGACAGCGGTGGCACCGGGGGCAGGAGCCAGCCCGGCCCCGGGGGGACAGCGGTGGCACCGGGGACAGGAGCCAGCCGGGCCGGTGGCAGCACCGGGGCCGGGCTGCGGGGCACCACGGGCTCTGCGTGCGGCCGCAAACGTGTCTGGAGCCGCAGGAGCTGCACTCGCGGCTGCCGGAGCGGCTGCAGAGGCGGGAGAGGCTTCCCGGGGCGTGCGGAGGGACGGGGAGGCTCGGGGGTCGCCAGGGACAAGGACATGCCAAGGAGGGAGCCGGGCAGAGGGGAGCTCCCCTTTTACCTCCCCTCCCTGTTCTGGGAATTTTTGGGATCTGGGCTCTGCTGGGGTGGAGGCTGGGGAGGGCTGAGAGGTGCAGGAACCTCTGTCGGTGCTGAAATTCAGGTGTAGCACCCACGGGTGGGACAAAATCCACGTCACACTCCGTGTCATGGAACCATGCGATGGTTTGGCCTGGAAGGACCTTCAGCCCATCCACGGCAGGGACACCTTCCACCTCCCCAGGACGTGCCAGAGGAGCCCGGGCTGCTCTTCCCCGTCCCTGCTGTGTCACCTCCCCGCTCTGAGGTCCCTCTGTGCCCCCAACTCTGCCACCATCCCCTCCCTGGGCAAATCCCAGGCTCAGGGGACACCCTGAGGCTCAGGGGACCCCAAATCCGGATCGGGGGACACCCCGGGCCCCATCCTCACCTGGGGCTGGTCCCCTCTGCGGTGGGAGCTGGAAAATGGGATTAAAAGCGGTGATTTGTCTTTCCGTTCTGAGGAGAAAACAGGACAAGGGATTAGCCCCAGAGATGTCACCCCACACCTCTGCCCCCAGGGTGGGGCCGGGACTCTCCCCTCATCCCGGCCCTGCCAGCCTCCGGACAGCCAGTCCTGCCCTCCGAGGGGCTCCTGGAGCTCTGCTGGACCCCAGCATGGCCCACTGGGAAGGGGGTTCTGCACAAGGAGTCCCAGCACTGCCGGGCGCTGCCTCCCCCCAGCTCAGGGTGAAGGCTGGAGGGATAAAAATGTCCTGGAAGTGGGAGAAAATTCTGATTTTCAGACCCAGACTCCAGAGCTTCCTCGGGGCTGAGCGGTGCCAAGGCGCAATTCCAGAAAATCTGGGTTTGGATCCCAACCCTGCAGCCCAGGCTTTGCTTGGGACAACCTGAGGGAAGTTCTGACGGGGAAAACACGTTCATCGCACCCCTGATCCCAAATCCTTCTCCTGGCCTGTTTGTCTGGCCGGGAGACAGGGCCAGCAGCGTTCCCAAGCACTCGGGAGGCCTGGAAAATGTCTTTCCAAGGGGGTTTTGGGCTTTGCATGAAAGCCCAGCCAGGAGCTGCGAGGGCAATAAAAGAAGATGAACGAGGTGCAGGTGCTGGCTGGGATCCCCTGGAATGAGCTGCTCCGAGTCCCCAGCTCCTCTCACCATCCTGTGTGCTTTTTCCACTGGTTTTTATAGCAGGGAATTTTCTTTTTTTTTTTTTTTTTTTTTTCTTTTTTGGAAGCGTGTGGCTCGTGCTGGGAAATTTCCACCCACTCTGCTCCCCCACACTCACGGCTGCAGCTGCAGAGACACAGAACGCTCTGGCCCGGGGTTTTTCCTGCCTGGATCTGTCTCTCATCCCATTGTTAAACCCCGGGAATTGTGATGGATTGAAGAGGGAGTCTCGCAGCAAAGCTCGGTGGGAAGAACCTGTGGAGGTTTGAAAGATGAGTAGGAAGGAAATGGAGCTCAGTTTGTGCTCTGAAAAAAAAAAAAAAACCAAAAAAACCCCCCAAAAAACCTCTGCCTTTTCCAGACCTGCTTCAGCTCCAAACCACTGTGGGTCACAGGCTTTAAATTATAAGTGGAGCTGAAATTTGGGAACTCTAGGCCCTGGGAAAGCAGCATCCCTGACCCTATGCAGCAGTGCCAGGTGGAGACAGTAAATATTGCAGGGAAATCAGACACCCCGAGCTGTTCCGGGGCATTCCCGCCCGCCCTGGCGTCCTGCTGAGCTCTCCCACTTCCCTCTCCCGGGTTGTTCCCGGCAGAAAAGCTCTGGGATGCAGCTGGGCCGGCTGAGAGGAGAAATCCCCCGGGATTTCTTGGCGAGGGTGGCCGAACCCCGCTGGGCGCAGGGAGCTGAACTCGGCGGTGACTCGCAGCGTTCCAGCAAAACCCAGCGGCGCTCGGGCTTCACGGGACCGCGGGGCTGGCGCTTCCCCGGCCGGAGAGGCTGCGGGATGGCAGCACCAGGAGGGTGCCAGTGCCTGCTGCTGCTCTCCTCCCTCTCCTGCTGCTCCTCTCCTCCCAGCCCCGGAGGGATGCTGACAGCAGCGCGGCTTTCCCGGCTCTGGCGTGTGTCCCTGCGTGACATTTGTCACCCACAGCAGCTCCACGGCACCTTCCCAGCCCTGCGGAGCTCCCACGGCTCCTGCCCATCCCTTTCCTCCCTGCTGGAAGGGCGGGTGGTTATCCAGCCCGGCAGGGACAGAGAGACGCAGAAACCCCGGACCTGGCGAGGGCAGAGGGGCTCCTGTGATTCCTCCCTCTGGAATTCTCCCTTCCACATGGCACCGAGCCAATTCCAGGCTGGAATTGCTGTGCTCGGAACTGGCTGAGGGCAGGCAGGAGAAGGATTCCCGGGAAATCGGTTCCTCTGCGCCGGCTCAGAGGGGGGATCATTCCCACTGGGAATTGTCCCGTTGAATCCAGGCTCTGGTGGCCCTCTTGGTGGCCCGTGGCTCTGGAGATGGCTGGGAAGTGCCCTGGGATGCCCTGAGCAGACACCAGCAAGGAAAAGCTTCCAGGAAGGCTTTTCCCAGCCCCATCCCGTGGCTGTTCCCAGGAGCTGAGCTCGTTCCTGCTGCTCCCTGCTGCGGCTTCATCCCATCGATGCCAGGGGGGATGGAGAGCCCAGCTCCATTTCCTGGGAATGGGAAAGGGGGAATGGGAATGGGGAATGGGAATGGGGAAAGGGAATGGGGAAAGGGAATGGGGAAAGGGAATGGGAATGGGGAAAGGGAATGGGGAAAGGGAATGGGAATGGGGAAAGGGAAAGGGAATGGGAAATCTCTGTGGGCAAACTGGGGGACTCTGGTGCAGGGCTGTGCCAGGCAGCGCTGCAGAGCTGCCATGAGAAGGAATTTCGGTGCCGAAACTTCTCCACCTCCCCTCCCCCGGCGCTGGAACCTCTCCTCTCCCCTCCCCGTCCATTACCCGGCGGGCGCTCCGTGTTTTGGCTCCGAGCTCCGTCTGGGCTCCCGGAGCCCCCGGGCCCCTCTTTGCCATGGCAGCCGCTCCCGCCGCGCTGCCCATTGTCCCCCGCCCCGCGAGCCCGAGCACCTGGAGACCTCCTCGGGAAAACTTCATTTGCCGGGCGAGCTTTGATGAAAGCGGCCTGGCGGGGAGGCCGCGCCGCTCCCGAGTCAATATTGGCTTTGGAACAGATGGGGGTGAGGACAGGAGCCGGGGGGGACCCGGGCCGCGGTGCCAGCCCCGGGCAGGGATGCTGTGGCTGGATGGCTCCGTGGCAGAGGCCGGGGAGTGGCAGGAGCGCTCGGAGATCAAAGTGGGGCAGCCCCGAGAGCTGCGGCAGCGCCCCGTGCGCGCTGGGAGCGCCGGCGAACAAAAGCATCAAAGGGAATCCAATGAAACTAATTGAAGGGCTGGGGCGCTAAATAACGAGCGCCGGGCTTTCATGGAACGCCAGCTCCTTCCCGTCAGAACCGCGGGGACGAGCTCCAAGAAAACCCCAGGGACAGCCCCGTCCTTCCCCAAAACCAGCAACAACAACAAAACCCCGAGCCCCAACATCCCGCACGGAAGGGCAGCGGAGCCTGCCGGGCACAGCCGGTCCCGGACACCGGGCACCAGGCACCGGGCAGGATTTGAGGTCCCTTCCAGCCCAAACCAGTCTGGGATGCAGGGATGCCATGGCTTCGGCTGGATCGGCTGTGGCACGCAAGGTCCCACTGCCCTCCCTGATCTCTGGGTGCCCAAACGAGATCCCAGTGGCATCCCTGATCTTTGGGGCACTCAAAAAAGGCTCTTCTGATCTTTGGGATGCCCAAACAAGTTCCCATTTCTCTCCCTGATCCCTTGGGTGCCCAAACAAGGCCCCAGTGCCCTCCCTGATCCCTTGGGTGCCCAAACAAGGCCCCAGTGCTTTCCCAAATCTTTGGGGTGGCCAAACAAGGCCCCAGTGCCCTCCCTGATCCCTTGGGTGCTCGTGTCTCTGCAAGGCCTCTCCCCTGCCCTTCCCAGAGCCCCGGGAGAAGGGGAAGGAGCAGCCGAGCGGTGGCACAGACGGGAAGGTGCCCGGTGGCCCCGGTGAGAGGAGCCCAGGTGGAGCCGGTCCCGGTGAGCGGTGCCGGCCCCGATCCCGGTGAGCGGTGCCGGCCCCGATCCCGGTGAGCGGTGCCGGCCCCGATCCCGGTGAGCGGTGCCGGCCCCGGTCCCGGTGAGTGGTGCCGGCCCCGGTCCCGGTGAGCGGTGCCAGCCCCGGGCAGGCTCCAGGCTCGGTGTCTGCCCTGCCCCGCGGCTGCCCCGCATCCATCACCGATCAAGGGAAGCCCCCGCAGGTTGTTTTAAACCGGCACCAGCGGGAGTTTGGGCTAATGAGGAAAATCTGAGCATTCCTCAAATTTCCCATCCCTGCCCAGCGCGGGGAGGGGGATGGGGATGGGGAGGGGATCTCCCTCTGGAGGGCGGCTGATCCTCGGGGAGGGGCAGGAGCGGGAGCTGATCCCTGTCCTGGTCCAGGGGCTGGCAAAGCTCTCCTCGAGGTGAGGACACAAACCCTGCCCTGACCTTTCCCTGGGCTCTGGAACGCAGCTGGGAGAGGCTGGGCCGCACCGAGGGGCAGCTCCGTGCCAGCTCCTGGATCCCCCTGGAATCACCACCCCAGCTCCAGGCTGGGGCTCGGAGCAGCAGCAGGGCCGGGAGAACGGCCCCATCCCCAGGCATTCCGTGATTTCCCCTGGAGATGGCTGCCTCCAGGAAAAGCCAACGAAAAACCCACCCGGAGCTCTCCAAAGGGGCTGCACAGGAGGGGAAAGGGCCTTAAAAGGCATCCAAAAGGGTGGGAAAAAGGGATTTTCAAGAGGGGAGAAGAGGGAGAAGAACCAGGCCTGCTCAGAGCAATCCCAGTGCTCCTCCTTGCCCCTGGAAGTTCCGTGGGATCCTGGAGCTCTGGGATTTCTGGGAGAGCTTTGAAGGATCCCAGCACGGCTTGGCAGCCCCTTCCTTGGGCACACCGAGATTTTGTGCTGGGAAGGGCTGGAGCAAACCTGGCTTCCCACATCAGCTCAGAGCTGCTGGTTCTGTTTGTCCTTCAGGCTTGAAATCCGTGGGGTTTAAAATTCTTCAAGAGAGGAAAATATAAGAATTTATCACCAATAAGCTCCTAGACTCTTTTTTTTCATTAATTAAACCAGCCCAGGTCTCTGTCCCGACACCTCCCTCAGTTCCTCAGCACTTCTCCTCCCTGCTGCCCCATCTCCCCGGCTCTCCCCCGGGATTTTAATTACATTCATCAATTTCCGCTCACTGGCTCTGTCACTCGGCTGGAATTATTCTCCGGGAAGCCCGAGGGGATTAAGGCTCCTCGGCGCCCCTTTCCCAGCCCCGGTACCTGCCGGGGGGCCACTGATCGCCCCTAAGGAGCTGCCACAAACGGGGGCAGCACCCCAAACTCGGCCAGGTTTGGGGGCGCTCCCAACGCCCCCGGATTCCCCGGGAAGGGAGGCGGGGATGGGGAATTCTGTGGGGTCAGAGGAGCCGGGGATGTGGGGTTTGATCAGCTCCAGAGGTCCCCGGGCTGCGTTCAGGAGCTTTAAACCCACGTGGGATGAGCTCCAGAATCCCCAAACTCAGTTCAGGAGCTTTAAACCCACGTGGGATGAGCTCCAGAATCCCCAAACTCGGCTCAGGAGCTCTCCAACTCTAAATCCTCCTGGGATGAGCTCCAGGGCACTTTTCCTTCCCCAGGGAACGTCTGGCACGAGGCTGACCCCACAAAACCCGACCCCAGCCGCAGACTGAGGCCAGAGCGGTGGCAGCGAGCCCTGGGTGGGCACCGGGGGATGGAGGAGAGGCAGAAATGCCCGATAATTCCAGGGCCAAGCACCGGGGCGGGGATTAGGGCGTGAAAAGGGAGCGCGGCGCCCGCAGGGAAGCGCCGGGGCTTTGGGGGATTTGTGCCAGCTCAAAGCTGAGCTCCAAAGTGGATTTGCTTTAACCCTCTGCAGAGGAGCTGGGCACTGCCCCCTCCCCCTCCGCTGGCCTTGCCCCAGATGATTAAAATGGGAATTTCCTCCCAGAGCTGCCAGCGGCGGGGATGGAGGGTGCCCAAACCCACCCTGTGCCCACCCTGTGCCCAACCTGTGCCCGTCCCACCCCCCACCAGCCGCCTCCTCCTCTGGCCTCAACTGAGATCCACGAATTGTCCTTCTTTTTGCAATTCCAAGGAAAAAGCAGCTCGGCCATCCCTTCTGATCCAGGATTTGGGTGGGATATGCTCCTGCTGCATTTCCCATCTATCTCCGGCTGCATTTCCCATCCATTTCCTGCTGCATTTCCCATCCATCTCCTGCTGCATTCCCCTCCCAGCTCCACGAGTGTCCCCATGGCCACGGTTTCCATCCATCCCGATCCCAAAGATCCATCCTGACCCCATTTCCAGGGTTAAATCCCAAAACGTTCCCCAGAGCTGCCAGGGCTCCCCGCCCCGGAGCCAGCTCCCGCTTTTTGCCCAGCTCCAGCTTTAATTCCAGCAGCAGCAGAGGTGTCTCATTAAGCGATTAATTATTCATGGGGCGCCAGACGGGCAGGCGGCCTCAGCCGGGAGGAGCCCGGCGCATCCCCGGCCGCTCCTGATGTCACCGCTCCCTCCCCGGCCATTGCCACCTTGTCACCAATTGTCACCGGCCACCTGCTCGGCCTGGCCGATCCTCCTTAAAATCCCAATTACCATATAATGAGGTCGGGGCAAATCCTGGCTTTCCCAAGGCCCAATTCCCTTTCTTTCCCTTTTTTCTTTTTTTTTAAATTTTTCTTTTAGTTTTTTTTTTTTTTTGTGGTTTTTGGGTTTTTGTTTTGTTTTGTTTTGTTTTTTTTAACCAAAGGTTTCCAGTTGTTCAAACCCGGGGTAAGGACCGTGCTGTTCCTGGATCCAGGATCACATCCCAGCCCAGGACTGAGCAGGCAGCTGCTGGGACACTTGGGAAGATCCTGGAAGGTCGAGAATTCCGTGTCCCCTTGAGCTGGCTGGACGGTCCTGCGGCTCTGCAGAGGGGCTGGCTGAGTTCCCCATCCTGGCAAAGCCCCTCCACGGTGGGAATAATTTCCTTTTCAGGCTGCTCGGGGAAGTGGGGTCCCCCCTCCCTGCTGGGGACAGCTTTGGGGGTGACCGTGGGGGCGCTGGGTCGATGTCACCTCTCCATGGGCAGATTTTGGGGACCTCACAGCTTAAACTGTGCTGGGATTTTGGCCACTTCTCCCTGCACGAGTCCATTTTCCTTCCTCGCACACCTCAGCACGTCCCTCGGAGCCATCGGCCACGTCAAGCTCAGTTCAAGAACAAATCGAGGTCAAACCCCAAATCCCAGCCCCGCACTCGGTTATTCCCCAGTTTATTTTCCAGCAGCTTTCACTGCGGGCGTCCTTTCTTCGGGAAGAGAAACGGGAACAAAAATTCACGTTTTTTCCCCACCCCGAGGGGGTTTTGGGGCATTCGGGTCCCAAGCCCTGAGAGCAAAAGCTGCGGGAGCAGCCGAGTGGTCCCTGCGCTGTCACCGCCGGGGGTGGCCCGGCCCGGGTGTCCCGCCCGTCCCTCCCTCCAAGGCAGCTCCTTTTGCCGGCCCGTTGCATTTTTCATATAAAGCTGATACCATGAAAAATGAGCATCTTTTTGCCGGGAAGACAATGGGGGATTTTTCAGGGAGTTGTTGCGCTCTTTGTGCCCTTTGTGGGTTTTTTTGCTGGGTTCTGACTGGGGCGAGTTTTATCAAAGGGCCGGAGGGACTCGGAGCCGCGGGGACAATGGCAGGGGACGGAGTCACGACGTTAATCTGCTCTAAAGAGGTGGAAAGTGCCGCGAATGCCGTGAAATGCTGCCCACAATGAGGCCGCCCGAGGTGCCAGTCACAAAGTCACGGCGGCCACGGAGGGGAAATCCTGGGGGGGAAAAGGTCTGGAATGGTGCAAACAGAAGGAACTTTAATAATGGGATTTCCTTTTTTTTTACGAGGAGGAATGGGAAACCGAGGGAATGGAGTGGTTTGGGTTGGAGGGACCTTAAAGCTCTTCCCATTCCCCTGTGCCATGGGCAGGGACACTTCCCACTATCCCGGGTTCCAGGAACCATCTCCAAACACAGCCCAGCAGGGAGCCCCCGCCTCGTTTCACTGCCGGGATGGGAGGAAGAGGGATTTGCTCCAGGAAAGGCCCTGAAAGTCGGGAATGTGCCATCCAAGAGGGTTTTTGGGAATGTGCCATCCACGGGTTTTTTTGGGAATGTGCCATCCAAGGGGGTTTGGATCCCCATCCCTGAGGTGACAAGGTGGGGACAAATGGGGCCCAGCTTGGACTTGGTGACCTTGGAAGGCTTTTCCAACCTCGGTGACTCCGGGATTCTGGATGTGGATCAGGAATTCTGGATGTGGATCCCAGATTCTGGATGTGGATCAGGAATTCTGGATGTGGATTGGGAATTCTGCTGTGTGAAGGTCCCAAAGAGATTTTTTCCTGGTGCCCTCCAGAAAAGAACGGGGTAAAGATCCGAACTCCAAAATCTTGGAGCTGTTTGTTTTCCTTGCTTCTCCCGAGGGTTGTTTGGTGGGAAGGGGCAAAGGACAGACCCCAAAGCGTGTCCCAGCACCCAAGGACACAACCAGGCGTGCAACCAAGCCGGGCTTTCCCCAGAAATTCCATTTCAGGCCTGGAATGGGATGTCCCGGCTCTTGGGGAATTCCACTCCCTCTCGCCGTGCTCCCGATGCCTCAGTGCGCGGCTTTAAAGGAATTTCTCCCCTCTTCTGGATTAGTGACCCATTCTAACACTCCTCAGTGCCGAGCGGGGCTCTCAAAGGCCCCATTGCGCCGAGCTGACAAAGGAGCTGAGCCGGAGATGAGGAGTTTACAAAAAGTTTGTAGGAAGCCGGGGAGTCCTTTTAAAAGAGAATAAACTGCCGCTGCTGTGTCTGGGTTGAGTTAATCTGATTAGGCCAAGCTCATCAACAGCCCCGGTGAAAGGATTGAGGCGGGGGAAAGCCGTGGACAGGGCCTGGAAAAGAAAAAAACCAAAAAACCAAAAAAACCCAGGGACTCTTTTAGCAGGGAAGTCAAACAAACCCCATTGTGGGGGAGCACGCTCCCGAGGCGGCTCCGCTCCCTCTTCCCGTCCCCGCCACCTTTTCAAGATGTTTTCCAGGGAAGGGAAAGTCAGCAGATCCGCGCTCGGGCAGAGTTTTTGGCGCTTGCAGAAGAAGGGAACATCTGTCTCAATCAGCTGGGCTATTCTGTGCGGCGGCTCCTCCTCAGCTCTCAGCACCCAGAGAGACAAAACCGGGGCAAAACCTTCCAAAAGGGGGTTTTGTCTACGCCGCCGCAATTTCCTCTTAGGAAAATTTCCAAGGGCGGGGAAGGAGGAAAGGAGGGGAGAAAAGAAATTAAAGCCCATTTGCTTCCTCGTGAAAAAGAGCAAAAAAACACCCCACCAAAATCTCCATTTCTAACGGGGCGAGATTCCTTCCCAGCCCCCAAAAGGAGGGCGGGGGGGGGATGAGGAGCAGTTCATTAGTGCAGACAGGAATTTTCCTGGAATTCTCTCCCCTTTCAGCTGGAGGAGCCCCCGCAGCTCCGGGCTTGTGGGATTCGGTTCCGTGGGTGCTGGGCACGGGGCTGGGGCTGGGAGCTCCCGGGATCCGGGAGGAGGTCAGGAATGAGGGAGGCCCTTGGCACACCTTGGGCACGGCTCTGGAGCCCTGGAATCAGCCAAGGGTGGAAGTTTAAAGGTTGGGAAAGGCCTCGAGGCCCAGTGCTGCACCACCACCCTGTCCGTGATGTCCTCCAGCGATTCCCGAACAATTCCAGGGATTTGGGGCTCCCCACTGCCCATTCCCAATGTTTACAGCCCTTCCCGAGATTTTTTTTAACCAATATCAGATTGAAATAAAAGATGGAAGAGCCTCTGGCCCATGAGACTGCGGAGCTTTGCAGAGGCACCTGGAAATATCCAGATTTTGGATAAGATTTTGGGAGATGGCCGAGCTGGGTCCATCCCCGTGGATTTTCCCTGCTCGGCCGCTGCTGGAAAGGTCTCCAGCTGGCACTGGAGGGGTGGGAGAAGCAGAGCTCAGCAGGGATGGGACAGACCAGGACACAAAAACTGCCCCGCGCAGCTTCCCCCAAAGCCCTTCCCGGCCCTGGGCTTGTTTGGAGGGAGAATTTTGGCGGCCACGTGACCCCTGCTAATTAATTTCAGCTGATTAGAGCTGGAAACTCCGCGGGGACAAAAGAGGCCACGGGAGGTTTGCCGGGGATGCTCGGGGCTGGAGGCTGCGCTGTAATTTGTTCCCCATTATGGGCCGCCAAAAAAAAACCCAAAAAAAAACCCCAACCAAGCTCCTCGCGAGCTGCCAGCCCTAAATGTCTTCATTTGTGCCGTGTGACACATCCCGAGGTGAGGGATGGGATGGAGCCGGGAATGCCGGGGGATTAGGGCCCGATCCCCGGGCAAACAGCGCCGGGGAGGGGCACGAACCCCAAACCCCGAACCCCGAACCCGCTCGGCCCCCGAGACCTTCTCCAGCCTCTCCCCCCTGGGCCGCGCAGCTCCTCAGCGCTGTTCCCAAACTGGGAGCGGGCTGGATGCATCCAATGGGCTTTATGGGGTTTGGGGATCAAAGGGGGCAGGGACAAGTGCCCCGGGCCTCCTCAGCCGCGATATCGGCACGAAAAACCCGTCCCACACCACCAGAATTCAAAGCTCATAAGCTGTTTTTATTTAAAAAGTGCGAACACCAGGGTTTTTTGGGTTTTTTGGGTTTTTGGTTTTTTTTTTTTTTCCTAAGGGATCAAGATTAAATATATAGGCCACGGCCGGAGAGGAATCCCGGGGACTTTGCACATAAAGCCCTAAGAAGGAAAATCCCAGGTCTGCATCCAGAGGCTGTTGAAAGGCTTTCACTGGCCCAGCACAAGCTGGGAAACCCGAATTATGCCGAGCTGGGCTGGCTGCGAGGGAGGAACTGCAGGAGGGGAGCTGCAATAATTGCAATTCCAGCCGCAAGGGGATAAACGCAGCGGGATCAAAGCTGCCAAACCGGGATTCGCCACTCCCGGCGTGCGTTCCCTCGGCATCTCCCGCGGACCTGGATAAAATCGATGGAAAAGAGATGTAAAAATGTGGGCTGGGCTGGAGAAAAGCGGCTTAGAGGGAGAAAAGCCTCGGGGAGGGAGGCCGCGGTCAGCACCGCTCCCCACCCCCCATTTCCCGAGATCCCCAAAACTATATATATATATATATATATATATATATATATATATATATATATGTAAGGATTCGGGACCTTCTCCCCCTCCCGCTCCCCGGAGTGCCGGCGGGGAATTTTCCAGGCTCCTTGCGGGCATTTCCAGCTGCAGGGGTGGGAAGCTGAGGCAGGCACAGCTGGCCACAGCTGGCCGCAGCTGCGGAGCCGCAGGAGGGCGGCGGGGGGGTGGCCCTGTCCCCATCCTGTCCCCTTTGTGCGGCTTCCAGCGCCACTAAAAGGGTGTAAAAGCCCCGCGGAACGGGAAATGGCCCCGGGCACATCCCAGCGTGGCTTTAGGTGGGGACAGAACAAAACAAAACAAACCAAACCCAACAAAACAAACCCAAGCAGCAGCCCTGGCGGAGGAGGGAATTCCGGCCGCAGGAATGGAGCTTCCCCAGGGCTCCCGGAGCTTTGGAGCCTGGGGATGGTGGCGAGAAGAGGAGCGGGGCTGGGAGTGATGTCAGGGGCTCAGAGCAGCAGGAATTCTCCCGAGCTGTCCCCTGGAATTCCCTCTGGAGAGCAGCGCAGCCAGCGAGAGCTGCTCCCAGCCTGGGAATTGCATCACATTCTGCTGAAATCCTCCATAACTGACTTTTTTTTTTTTTTTTTTTTTTTCAGTGTAATTATGTAATTAATGCGTTCAGAGCAAGCTGCTGAAGGACGGACATAATTTTAAAAATTTTTATTATCATTATGACTTATTTCCTCCCAGGATTTTACAGCCTCCCTTATTCTCAAGGAGATTGCACAAGGGGCTGTTGTTCTGCAGTTTATTGCTCCCAGAAGGAAACTGAGCCCCCGAACCTTCGCAATGACACTCAAAAAAGCCCTTTAATAACATTTATTCCTCCCCAGGGACACAACCTGAACCCTTTTTCCAGAAGAACGGGCCCCACTTTGCTGCCACTTCGACTCCTCCAGAAAAACAACACCTCCCACGCAGCAAAAATCACAATTCAGCCTGGAATTGCTGTTCCTGCGGTCCCGTGCGCCTTGGGGAGGGAGAGGAAAAGGCTCCTGGAACCGATGGATCCTCCTGGAGCCTTTGATGTCTGCGGGAGGACGGTGCCGCTTCCCCGGCGCGGCTGCCGTGGGTGCCCCCGGAGCCTGGATGTGCCGGAGCACCTGGAATTGCTCCGGAGATGAAAGGGCCGGGATGTGATCCGCGCCAGAGCGGGAACGCTTCCAGGGCTTTCCTTTCCTTTGCTTCTTGTTTTCCCTTCTTTTCTCTTCTCCTTTCCTTTCCTTTCCTTTCCTTTCCTTTCCTTTCCTTTCCTTTCCTTTCCTTTCCTTTCCTTTCCTTTCCTTTCCTTTCCTTTCCTTTCCTTTCCTTTCCTTCCTTTCCTTTCCTTTCCTTTCCTTTCCTTTCCTTCCTTTCCTTTCCTTCCTTTCCTTTCCTTTCCTTTCCTTTCCTTTCCTTTCCTTTCCTTTCCTTTCCTTTCCTTTCCTTTCCTTTCCTTTCCTTTCCTTTCCTTTCCTTTCCTTTCCTTTCCTTTCCTCTGGGAGTGATTCACTGGAGCCAATTCAGAGCAGAGCAGGAGTCAGGCCAACAGTGGGGATTAAATTCCACGTGTGCTTCCCTTCTCCTCCCAGAAAATTCCCACAAACTCAGCTGGGCCCCCCTCAGTTTTCAGCTGGAAAAACCGGACGTGTTTTCCTGAGAGTTTACAAAAAACCCTCATTTTTATCCTTTAGACCGGCTGAGGAAAGGGGAAAAAAGGAAAAAGGAGCAGCGCTTTTCCAGCCCAGGAACCCTCCCCACTGTGCGCCGCTGGCCTGCGCGGAGCTAATTCCCAATTTATGATTATTAAAAGATTAAAGCCTGCAGCAGCGAGATTTCACACCAGGCTGCGTTCCCTGGGAAGGGCTGGAAATGAGGGGGGCTGCTCTGTGCTGGGGTCCCACATTAAAGGGATTTCTTTGGGATACGGGGATGGACTGAGCAGTGCCAGGCACCGGGAGCCCGGCGGGCACCACGACCCCGCAGCCACAGCACAGTCTCGGAGCTTTTGGGGTTCCCCAAAGCCCCACAGCTTTTGGGGTTTCCCAAAGCCTTGCAGGTTCTTGGGCTTCCCAAATCCCCGCAGGTTTTAGGGTTTCCCAAAGCCCCCCAGCTTTTGGGACACGCTGTTCCCATCCCAAAGGGAGCCCCAGGGTTTGTCTGTGGGGGTGGCACAGAAAAACGGGGTGAGGGGGTTGGCACCTCCCTTGGCACGTTGGGCTGGTGGGCACAGAGCTCTGTTTGAACCAACCTCAGGGACAAAAAGCCCCAAAATCGGGGCAAGACGCCAAGCGCCCCCCTTAGGGGCACGGGAGGGATTTTAGGGGGGTCACTCCCTGCCAAGCCTCAATTTCAGAGGTGGGGGGGATAAACTCCGAGGTCCCCTTGGGCATCCACGGGGCTTGGCAGGGTGCCACACCCGGAGGTGGTGACACACTCCGGGGGGTTCTGCCCCCTCCAGCCCGGTAAAACCGGGGGGGTCCCGGGGCACCGGAGCATCACCGGGGTGGGAGAAGGCGCCGGAGGTTCACCCCCCGTGCTGATGCAGCTTCCTCCCGCTGCGGCAGCGCCGGGACTCGGTAGCCGGGCCCGGGGGGAGCGGGGGAAGCGGCAGCGAGCAGCGCAGGAAGGCGGCAGCCCCGCGGGCGGTGCGGCTGCCGCCGGCGGGCGGCGGCGGCGGGGCGGGGTTTTCCCATGGAGCCGGGAGCGCTCCGGCACGTGCTCCGACGGGAGAACCGGGGGGAGGAAAGGAGAGGAGAGGAGAGGAGGAATGGGAATTGGAGTGGGAATGGGAATGGGGGGGCGGGTTGGGAACGGGGGAACCGGGAGAAGGGGGGGGGGACCCGAGCCGCGGCCGTGATTGACAGCGGCGGCCCCGCCAGCCAATGGGAGGCCAGAGCGCCCGCGCGGCCCCGCCCATTGGCCGCCCGCCGCCGCCGCCTCGCGTGCCGCGCCAGCCGCCGCCGCCCCCGGGCCGGGTGTCACAGCGCGGGCGGCGAGCGGGGCCAGCGCGGCGGCGGCGGCGGCGGCGGCGGGGCCGGCTCCCCGCCCGCGCTCTGCCCGCCCGCTCCGGCCTCCCCGCCCGCCCCCCTCGCACCCCACGTGGCCGCGCTGAGGGGCCGGGGGGCGTTCCCCGCGCGCGCGTGACGGGGCGGGGCGGGAAGGGCGGGCGCGGTGCGGGTGTGAGGGGGTGAGGCGCGGGCCAATGGGAGCGCGGGACGCGCGGGCGGCCGGGCGCGGGCCGGGCGCTGATTGGCCGCGCGCGAGTGTGGGAACGGCGGCGGCGGCGGGTTCACACGAATGGGCGCCGCCGCCGCCGCCGCCGCCGCGGCCGCGGGGCTATAAAGGGGCGCGGGCAGGGGCGGGGGGCGCCGCCGACCGCACGCCCCGCGCCCGCCGCACGCGCCCCGCGCCCGCCGCCGCACGCGCTCCGCTCGCCCCCTCCGGTTCCTTTCCACACCCCACACCACAACCTCGGGTTTGCCGCTTCCACGTTCTTTTTTTTTTTTTTTTTTTTTTTTTTTTCCTTCCCCCGTTCCTCCACCGGATCTCAGCCATGCCCGCCGATACGGGCATGGAGAAACCCACCGCCTCGCCCATCGCCGGTGCGCCCGCCAGCGCCAGCCACACGCCGGATAAGCCGCGGAGCGCCAGCGAGCACCGGAAGGTAAATGGAGGAGGAGGAGGAGGAGGAGGGTGCCGGTCGGGGCGCAGCGGCGGTGGCGGCGGCGCTGGATGGCGACAAGCCCGCGGCCGTGCTGAGGTCGGTGATGGTGTCGGGTGCGGTGCTGGGGGCCCGGGGCCGTGCGGGGGGCGCTGACCGGCTCCGCTCTCCCCGCAGTCCTCCAAGCCCATCATGGAGAAGCGGCGCCGGGCGCGCATCAATGAGAGCCTGGGGCAGCTCAAGACGCTCATCCTGGACGCGCTCAAGAAGGACGTAAGTGGGGCTGCGGGGACACCGGGGACACCGGGGACACGGGGCATGTCCGGCCGCGGGCAGCCCTGACCCAGCCGCTCTTGTCCCGCAGAGCTCGCGGCACTCCAAGCTGGAGAAGGCGGACATCCTGGAGATGACCGTCAAGCACCTGCGGAACCTGCAGCGGGCGCAGATGACCGGTGAGTGCCAGCTCCGGGGCCACCGGGCGTGGGGACAAGGCACCGGCCATGGGCATCGGGGTCTGGAGCGGGGACTGGGGTCTGCACCGGGAGCTGAGCACAAGGGATCGGGATCCGGACTGGGGATCGGGGTTGGGGTCTGCACCGGCGGCTGAGGACAAGGAAGCGGGATCCGGACCGGGAGCTGGGGACAGAGAACGGGGACAGGGATCCTGACCGAAGGCAGGGCACCGGGAACCGGATTCAGCACCAGTGGCTGGGGACTGAGGAGGAAAGAACGAGAGCTGCAGGCGGGAGACCGGGAAGGGGCTCCTTACAGGGAGCCTGGCTCCAGACCGGGGGCTGGGCACCGGGAACCGGGCTGCACCCCCGGGTTAGGGACAGACCACCGGGAACCGGGCCGCACCCCCGGGGTTAACGACAGGAGCGGGTGCTGGGGACAGGGTACCGGGGCCGGTACCCCGGACCTGCCGCTCACCTGCCGCCCCCTCCCCCAGCCGCGCTCAGCGCCGACCCCACCGTGCTCGGCAAGTACCGGGCCGGTTTCAACGAGTGCATGAACGAGGTGACCCGGTTCCTGTCCACCTGCGAAGGGGTCAACGCCGACGTGCGCACGCGGCTGCTGAGCCACCTCTCGGCGTGCCTGGGCCAGATCGTGGCCATGAACTACCCCCCTCCTCCTCCTCCTCCGCCGCCGCCCGCCCAGCCCGCACATCTGGCGCAGCAGCCGCTGCACGTCCAGCTGCCGCCGGCCGCGGCTGCCGCCGTGCCCGTGCCCTGCAAGCTGAACCCCGCCGAGGCGCTGTCCCCCAAAGTCTACGGCGGCTTCCAGCTGGTGCCGGCCACCGACGGCCAGTTCGCCTTCCTCATCCCCAGCCCGGCCTTCCCCGCCGGCTCCGGACCGGTTATTCCGCTCTACGCCAACGCCAACGCGCCGGTGGCGGCGGGCGGCGGCTCGGGCAGCGCGGCCGCCACCCCCTCGGTATCGCCGGTGCAAGGTCTGACATCATTTGGGGGCAGCATCGGCCCAGCCTCGCAGGCCGGGAGTCCCGTGGGAGGAGAGCGCAGCGAATCCGTCTGGAGACCCTGGTGACTCCCTCCGAGCCATTCCCCCTCTCCAAAAACAAAACAAAACAGAAAAACCGCAACAAACTCTCGTTGGCTCCGTTGTATGGAGCCCCTGTTATGTTTTGGGGAATTTTTAAAGCAGATTTAAGCAGAAAGGAAGAAAAGGACCTCGCTATGAACGTGCTATTTATTATTTTCAGAGGTTGGGATCTCGACTTGTATTTTTACTCCTTTAAAATGCCTTTATTTGAGATACTTTTTTTAAGGAAATGAACAAAAAAATAAATGAGAAATAGTTTTGTAACAAATATTGAAAAAGTTATAATGCCAAAGTTGTTTGTATCCCGTTGGTCTGTGGGTGTGTGCGTGCCTGTGTCGAAGACTTCCAAAAATGAAAAGAGAAAAAAAAATGCA